CGCTGGAAGGCTCCTCTGGGCCAGGCCTTCATGTCCAGTCAGCCTCTGCTTTTCCCTCTGCAGGTGTCGTGGTCTCCTATGAGGTGACCCAGCCGGCGTCCCTGTCGGCGGCCCTGGGATCCACGGTCAAGATCACCTGCCAGGGAGACAACATTGGGAATTATTATGCTTCCTGGCACCAGCAGCATCCGGGCCAGGCCCCTGCCCCGGTCATTTACAGTAATAGCAAGCGGCCCTCGGGCATCCCTGAGCGGTTCTCTGGTGCCAAATCAGGGAACACGGCCACGCTGACCATCAGTGGGGTCCTGGCTGAGGACGAGGCCGACTACTACTGTGCTGCAGGTGGCCCACAGTGACGCGGGGCCACGGGGAAGTGAGACACAAACCGGCCCGTCTGGCCTCGCCCCGGCCAGGAGGGGCAGACGGCGCCGAGCACAAGTCTGGGCCAGCCCAGATCGGGCCCAGCTGCCCCCTGGACCCGTGTCGGCACCTGCAGACTAGGCCAGCGGACATGGGGTGACGGCTGCAGGCCCGGGCTGCCCTGGCACCACGAGACCCTCCTGTGCAGAGCCGGGGCGGTCGGTAGGGAGTGGCCTTGAGCCCCAGCCTCTGCTCATGTCCCGGGGTTCCCAAGCAGACATCCCAGGGCTCCGTGGCAAAGGTGTGGGAGACTCGGCTGTCCACACACAGCAGGACGTGCGCCCTCACCCCATCCCGCCCGTGGCGTGCAGGGCGATCGCCCCTACCCGGGGCTCTACGTGCCAGAGCGAGCAGACAGGGTGCGTCCCAGCTGTCCCCCGAAATACAGAAATGTGTTTCCACACCTGCCGGCGGTGACTGTGCACAGCAGCATCCACTGAGCTCATTCAGCAGCGCGTTGTCAGGGTCACCTCAGCCTGACGTCGGCTGCGCGGTCCCCGCGGGGTCTCGTCTTCACAGTCTGCAATGTGCCCCGGAACCCGGGAACCCCGGAATCCAGAAAGGGCCCAGAACCTGACAAGCCCCGCAGACCCCAGCAGCCACTCTGACCCCTGCCTGGCGCGTGGACACCGGTCACGGGGCCCCACGGGCTGCGGTCGCAGGCGTCCGGGGTCTCGGCCTTCGCCTCAGAGACGCCAGTTCCCGACCCCGAGCACCGGCCCCGTGCAGGCTCCGGGCGGCAGCGTGGGCTGCCGGTGACCAGAGTTGACCGCGCCACAGCCAGGACTTGGCCAGGCGCAGCGTCTCCCCATGGGCAGAGTCGGGGCCGCTGTGACGGGGGGAGAGGGGAGCTGGGCTGAGAACGGGGTGACCTGGGGGCGTAGCACTGGGCCGCACAGTCAGCCCAAGGGGAGGTCGCTCCCCGGAAATTTTCGTCTTTGGCAGGTTTGTTTGGCCCCAGCGGCTGGGAATGAGGCTCAGGGAGGGCTGGGACACAGGCTGGGGTTTCGGAGCTCCTGCCGAGCTCAGGAGACCAGAAGTCTCCCAGCCTGAGGCCCAGAGAGGCCCTGGGTATCCGGGCGGGGGAGGGGGGTGTCCTGGCTCCACCACCTCCGACCCCAGCTGACAGAAGCTATTCAATGTCTATCGACTGACAGATTCCGGGTAAATGGGGAAAAGCTCTGAAAAATAAGAGTTTCCATTGCTAACTTAGGTTATGACTCCCTTTTTTGTATAAGCATAAATTCAAAAATATTGTGGTAACATCAGTTTGTAACTGGATTGCCTTAG